ATGTCCGACTGGGTGAGTTGACCTGTGGCCTCGCACAGTGATTCTGGGCCCTTTATGCTTGCTGTCTCACAGAATTGTTTTCTTACCTTTTAATGTAATGACGAGTGTGCTTCAGTTTGTTTAGCAAAACCACTCTCTTGAATCACGTTAACTTTTGAGATTAAAAAAAAAAAAACCGCCATAGCACAGCTGTCTTTATGCAAGCAAGAGCACATCTACTCCAGCATGATCTGTCATCTAAAGACTTGAAAACAAAAATCAGTTACTTATAGTCAATGGGTAAGCAGAGTCTGAATTTATATTAATCAAGACAAACCTTTGAAAGGTTACACTAAGTACAGAACTTTTAAACCTTGCTTTGTATGAGTTGTACTTTTTGAACATAAGCTGCACTTTTATTTTCTAATGCAGAGGATGAATAAGTTAAATACATGCCTTGAGGATAGAAGCAGACATTCTGTTTGGCACCACGTTATAATCTGCTTATTTTACAATATACACGTTTCCCTAAGAAATCGTGGCAGAGATGTGAGGGCAGAATACACACAACAGATGCTGAAGGAGAAGGAGGGTAGTGTTTCGCAAAAGAAAAAGAAAAGAACCAACAGAATTTTAACTCTATTAACTTTTCCAAATTTTCCTATGCTTTTAGTTAACATCATTATTGTATCCTAATGCCACTAGGGGAGAGAGCTTTTGACTCTGTTGGGTTTTATATAAATGTGTGCATATAGTAATGAGATCTGGAATTTTTTGGTGAAAAAGGTTTGTTGGTCTCCTTCCTGTGTTCCTACAAAACTCCCACTCTCAGGTGCAAGAGTTATGTAGAAGGAAAGGGAGCTGAAATAGAAACAGAAAAATCAACCTTTATAAGTAGTGAACGCCAAGGGAAAATACCACGATGATTTCAGAGGAGACTCTGCAAAATCGTCCCTTTTGGAGAACGTAGGCGACATGGAATACTACGAATGAAATCACATCATTGTATCTTTTACATCAATAGCCTCACCACTAATATGTCTTGTATCTAGGTGTCTATAATGGCTGAAACCACTACATCCATATATGCCATTTACCTGAAAACTTAACTGTGGCCTTTACGAGGCCAGAAAAGTGAACTGAGTTTTCATAGTTAAGAAAAGACCTCAAATGAGGGGAGTCAGCAGTGATCATGGGGGAAATGTTTACATTTTTTTTTTTCTTCAGAAGTAACTCTTTCTGATGATTTTATCTGATATTTAAAACAGGGAGCTATGGTGCACTCTAGTTTATACTTGTGCTCTGAAATGTGTTGTGTAAACATAGGGTGCCTACCTATTTCACCTGACACATACTCGTTTCTGATTCAGAATCAGTGTGGGCTCCTGCAGTGGGCGCGGGTCACGGCTGACTCCAACTTCCAATACAACAGCCATCACTAGCACGGTGTTTTTTTGTTTAACCAACGTAGTTGTATTAGTAGTTCTATAAAGAGAACTGCTTTTAACATTAGGGACTGGGAGCAGTCCACGGGATAAAAAGGAAAGTGTTTTCTCACGAGAAAACATGTCAGGAAAAATAAAGAACACTTTCTACCTCTGTTTCAGATTTTTGAAACACTTATTTTAAACCAAATTTTAATTTCTGTGTCCAAAATAAGTTTTAAGGACATCTGTTCTTCCATACGAAATAGGTTAGGCTGCCTATTTCTTACTGAGCTCATGGAATGGTTCTGCTTATGATACTCTGCACGCTGCCTTTTAGTGAGTGAGGAGTTTGGGGTTGCCTAGCAACTTGCTAACTTGTAAAAAGTCATCTTTCCCTCACAGAAAGAAACGAAAGAAAACAAAGCAAAGTCAGTGAAAGACAATCTTTATAGTTTCAGGAGTAAATCTATATGTGGCTTTTGTCAAGCACTTAGATGGATATAAATGCAGCAACTTGTTTTAAAAAAATGCACAATTTACTTCCCAAAAAAGTTGTTACTTGCCTTTTCAAGTTGTTGACAAACACACATTTGATATTCTCCTATATGTTATAGTAATGTAACGTATAAACTCAATACTTTTTATTCTTTGTGATTAAATCCTGTTTTAAAATGTCACAAAACAGGAACCAGCATTCTAATTAGATTTACTATATCAAGATATGGTTCAAATAGGACTACTAGAGTTCATTGAACACTAAAACTATGAAACAATTACTTTTTATATTAAAAAGACCATGGATTTAACTTATGAAAATCCAAATGCAGGATAGTAATTTTTGTTTACTTTTTTAACCAAACTGAATTTTTGAAAGACTATTGCAGGTGTTTAAAATGAAAGAAAAGCTGTTTTATCTAATACTGTAAGTAGTTGTCATATTCTGGAAAATTTAATAGTTTTAGAGTTAAGATATCTCCTCTCCTTGGTTAGGGAAGAAGAAAGCCCTTCACCATTGTGGAATGATGCCCTGGCTTTAAGGTTTAGCTCCACATCATGCTTCTTTTGAGAATTCTATTTGGTAGTTATAATTACAGAAACTGATTAGTTCGTCAGTTTGCAGATAGATTTAGCACAGTACTCATCACTCTGGATAGATTGAGATGTTCTTTCACAACAGATGATCTGTAACACTGTAAGATACTGATCTTTACAACTGTTTAATCAGTTTTATTTTTGTACAGTATTAGTGACCTAAGTTATTTTGCTGTCCCGTTTTTGTAAATCAAATGAAATTATAAAAGAGGATTCTGACAGTAGGTATTTTGTACATATGTATATATGTTGTCCAAATAAAAATAATAAATGATAAAGACTGAATTGTTCCAGCCATTATGTGTTGTAAAAGGGGGCTATTTCACCATAATGAAAGTTACTTCTTTAACCTGTGTTCACAGGATTTGGGGATGAGTGCAAAGATGATTTTACCCTGTACCTCTTAACACTCGCAATATTTATATAGACTTGTGTGTATATACAAGACCTCTGAGGAAGTAGATGGAATAGAGGTCACTGGAAACCGTTATGTTATGCTGGAGGGGAATATTTATATTTTGGGAGATAAATCACTTTAAGAGGCTTTTAGAGCTCATAAGTGTGCAGGGTGTACTAGGAACTGGTCAGAGAAAGTTGTAAGCTCAGATTGTCCTCCTGAGATACGATATTAATAAGAACACACAAGTTGAGGTTTCATTGGCTCCACAGTAGAAACTAATACCAAGCAAAACAAGCATCAGAGTGTGTGTGTGTGTGTGTGTGTGTGTGATTTATGCAGATATGTACTAGCTATTACGTATTAATTAAGCTTTTATTGTAAACTAGTCATGGTGTTGGGTGTTTAGGTTTTTCTCGTTTAATCCTTATAGCAGCTCTGTATAGTAGATAATTATTATTATGTACCTATTTCTGATGAGGAAATTGAGGATTGGATAACTTGCCAAGAGGTACATCTAATAAGTGGCACTAACTGTGTAAATTTGGATCTGCTGAATCCAACCCTCCATCTTTCTTTGCCTGCATCACAGCAGCAAGGGATTTACTGGAGTGTACCATTCATTTGACCCATTTTATTGAGCACAGCTATTCATGCCAGGCACTGTTGTCACTGTGGATACAAAGGTGAAAAAACAGACAAGGTCCCTGTGTTCAGGGAGCTTCTGTTAGTAGAGGGAAATACATAGCAAGTAAACAGATTATCCATGTACTCTCAGATAGGGATAAGCATAGTGGCGAGAATAGAATAGGGTGATGTGATTGTGACTTGGAGGGTGGGGAGAGGGTACTACACATTGAGGAGGCAGGGAAGACCTCCCTGAGGGTCTTCACATTTAAGCTGGGACCTAGATGACAAGAAGGAGCTAGCCTCAGAAAATGTGTAGGGAGTGTGGAAGGAGTTTCACAGGAATGTGACCAGCGTTTGGAGGAACAGGATGACAGTGGGGTGGCTGCAATATAAACTGGACGAGAAGAGAAGGGAAGTGCTGGGGCCCAGTTCACAAGGGCCATGTATTGCAGGTTGTAACACGGCGTTTGCTTTTGATTCTAAGGGGAGGGGCAATTTGTTGGAAGTTTTAAAGCAGAAGAATGCTACGATCCCACTTGTATTTCAGCAAGCTCTTTCTGAGTGCTAAGGAAAATGGATTTTAGAGGGACAAGAGTGGAAGCTGGGAAACTAGCCAGAAGACTTCTATTTGTCCAGGCAAAAGATGATGGTTTTCCAGACCAGGCGGTTAGCAATGGAGATGGAAAGAAATGAAGGGTTTCAAGAAATACATCAGAGGCAGAGTCATTTGGACTTGGTTATGTTAGGATGTCGGGGGTAAGGCATAAAAAAGTCCAGTAATGACCCTCAAGTCTATGGCCTGAGCAACAAGTAGATGTTACTGCAGAGTGGTGAGGATGGAGGAAAGGGAGAGAAAGTGGGTGGATGAGGGAAAGGGCATGGGTTCATCTTTGGACATGTTGAGGTTGCAGTGCCTGTCAACTGGGAATGTCAAGAGAACAATTGTATGTATTAGTTCAGATCTCAAAAGAAGTGGACTGGACTGGAAATTTGGATGTCGTAGTCATATTTGACAGTAATTGGAGCCAAAGAAGTGATGACATCACCTGGGAGAAGAAGTAGTTAGAGCCTAGAACCAAAGAGGAGGAGAAGGAGGAGGCAGAAACGTAGCTCAGGAAATAACAGGACAAACAAAACCCAGAAAATTGCAGGGCTGTTGAGTAAGGGATGGGGTGGGTTAGTCAATTGTGCTGCATGGCATTGAGGAGTATAGTAAGACCAGTGCTGAAAAGTGTCCCCTGAATTTAGGAATCTGAGGTTATTGGTGACTGATTAGAGCCATTTTATTAGAATGGCAAAAA